CCCCCCCCCCCCCCCCCGGAAGATAGCCCCGTCCTCTGATGTTCACACTCAAAAAAGATCTGATAACTAGTTTGAAAGTTTAACGATGCACTTTATTTATGAAATAAAACCTTACTTATAACATTACCGAGCTAAAAATGCTGTTAATATTTCTGGTTAAGTGTACATGCATTTGTGCCAGAGTTCCACTAATTTAAAAAAATACGAACATTCATTGATTACTTTATTGAATTTATGCGATTATTCGTGTAACGTGTTTCAAGATTATTTCACGGGCTTTCGTTTTTCCGTTGTTCCTCCTTCACATATCCTTGTTTCACTAATTCGTCGGCTTCATGCGCTTCAATAAACATTTCATCACTCGACAGAAGCGGGTATTCTGCATGTGGAAGAACAAAATATTCATATGACTTCATATATAGTCAACGTTGCATATATACATACATACATGACAAATTATTTATTGTTTTGTATACTGAGTACTAGAGTGTTTATGTATGACACTCAATCTTTCTTAATAATATTGCAAAGATCACTTAAATTGAAAAATAACCATGTAACATTTTTGGTAGAATACTATAACTTGTAGCCTTTCCGAGATATTCAACTTTGTTTGACAGACAAAATATCATCAGTACGACATCACTACCCTGCATAATGAGTTTCTATAACAGAGTGTTTATCGTGTGGGATAACGATATCCGTATCTGCGTATTCTACCAAAGAGTCCTTATACATAGTCACTTTAGATGATTTTCGCAAAGCAATCAAGAAAAGATTGGATGAAATTTCGTGTTATGAACCACTTCAAAGACGAAAAAAAGTTTGTCTAATGTGAAAGAACTTTCTAGACAATCACATACATTTGAGATGTTACTATGGCTTCGAGTTGAGAATCGTTTGACAAGAATAGTGTTGGGATAGCATTAACAACAGCTAACCAAGTCGCTTTTACTTCCAACTCTCATACACTCCCATTATCGTTGATCCGAGCTTTATTTCATCAATATTTTGCACATACCTTCTTCATCTCTCAGTTTATCGACCTGACGGCAAGCCCATTTCACAACTACAAATGAAGAAATGACGTGAGTTCGATATATGTTCGAAGGAGTGAAAATATCTACATCTTTATCTTGTTTTTGTGCTGTATGGAAACTCGTTTATATTTGGTCTGAAATAGGGTAAGCTAGAATTTCAATAATCTGCCAGCTCACCCTCCTCCCCTCCTCAAAGGGAGTTCCCCTGGGTCCAAGAAGTTATATATTCGCGCGTGTGTGTTTGGTTTCCTGTCGGAAGGATAACTAAAAAACTATCAGGTGCTAACTGCCGTAAAATTTGGATGAAAATTGAAGAAGAAATTAACAATGTTTGTCCTAGCCGCGAGATAATGCGGAGTTTAGGCGATTTTGGAAAACGTCGGTCAATTTTAGGCTGCGATTTAATGCCGTTTAAGGCAATTTAAAGCGAGTTACCATCTCAATGTAGGCCTGGCTTGCGAGTTTAGGCGTTTTTAGAAAACTTCGGACAATTTTAAGCCGCGATCTAAGGTGATCGAGAGTCTGTTGCGTAAGCTAGTAAGATAAAAGTTTAGGCGATTTAAATTAAGGCGAGTTACCATCCCAAAGTATAGATCTCAGAACTGAATGCATAATTATAGTGCGCTGTATATGTGTGAATACTGACTGAACATTCTTTGGGTGCCCTCCCCTGACTTCTTCCTTATGATCAAGCGGCAGGCGTAAGACTTACTTAAACTTCTAGAATTCTTCACAAATCCACAAACTGTCTTCAAACATGGTTTAAACTTTTTGAGCTTATCCTTAACCCGACGAACAACACGTCGAAGACGAATTCTAATTCTGGGAAGTCGAATTCTACGAAGACGCCATATACGACGACGACGACGGCGGCGACGACGACGACGCCATGGTGCGCGTTTGAACATTTCTGGTTCATCTTCGTCATTTGATGGTGTCTCATTTACACCGTCAACGGCGTTCTCTCTGAAATGTGAGAAGATATACTAATTAATGAAATTTACCAATTCAATGGTTTGTTCCAACTCTTTATAGCTAATTTCAAGAATGTTTTACAGTATTTTACAGCAGATAGGTATTGTATGATGTGGTGAGATGTGCATGGTATGGTATAGTGAGGTTTGGTTCGGTTTAGTATATGGTATATGGTGTGGTATGGTTCAGTTTGGTATGGTATGCATGGTATAGTATGGTGTGGCATCGACTGGTGGCATAGTATGCGGCCCATGGTATGGTGTATTTACTTTTCGCAACTGGTTGCGTCGAATACTCCATCTACAAAAGCCCATGTACTATTACTTCTATGGAACGATAAACCCCAACATCTAGATATTTAGTCCATGTAATGTGGAGTGTAGAACAGTAATAGATTTTTTTTGCTTACCGGGATTCATCATCGTCGTCATCATCGTCGTTATCATCATCATCGTCGTCATCATTTTCTGGATTCTTGAATGAATCTGCCCTGCAAAAATAAAAATACTTTAACTGTTAAAACGATCATAAAAGAATTTCTTAATTTCAACTAAATGAGCCTATGTAAACTGGATATTATATACAGTATATACGTGTTTTTATGCATATACTATCTCTAAACTGCTCTCCCCAGAGGTCCTGCAGTAAGAGCCATATCTCTTATTTGTCCAGTGTTACAACAGGAGGAAACCTAAACCGTAAACTAACTTTACTTATATTTGGTAGGTCTATAATTTCCGTTTCTCGTGGAGATCCAGAAATAAAGCCTTCCCAAACCTCATATCTATACGTTGTATTAAACTGAAAATTTCTAATAAAAATAAGGAAAATAACTACATACCAATAAGGAAATTACAAAGCACAGAAACTTACAATTGCGCATCATTTTCAGCATCGTTATTGGCATCTTCCAAAGCTACTTCTCTAAAATCATCTGGAGTTTCTTCAGTGTGCCCAACACCAAGAAACACAGCACAGACTGTAAACAGCAAGGCTAGAATCGTCCAACTCTTCATCGTGATGGCTGACTCGATTCCCTCTGATTAGCTTGCCTGTTTTCTCGCGCTTTTATGCGTACCGAAGTTGCGACGTGGCCCAAAAAGAGATGAAAGATTTTCTTGGTTCTGACCTGGATTGCGGAAAAAGTGTCAAGATAAAGGCAATTATACCCCCACCCTTTTGAATCGAAAATTAAGTTAAGTGTTTGTTTCTGTTGCGGAATGTCTAGAAAGAGACTTTCAAATTAACTGAAAGTTACCCACTTGAAGTTAAATCTTCCGTTCGGTAGAGTTTGCTAAACTTAGCATTCTTTGATATCCGGAATCATTACATCATTCTGATTCTACAAACAGACTATATGAATGGAAGTAAAAACAATCTCTATGTATAAAAAGAACTGAACGCTGCAGTCATCTCGAAATGAACCGACTGATATGAACAAGATGTGAGTTTGAAGCGTTTGTCAAACGAGGATGAGTCATGAGTGTTGATGAGAGTTGCAACACGCGTTGTACTGTATATATAACTCTCATCCAACGAGCGTTTTTGTTCATGCAACTCCTCTTTGTCAATTCGTAAAACGTTTTGATATGCCAGAGCTATTTGATGTTGGAACCACATAAAATGTCTACTGAGTACAGATTACTAAAATCAAATACAGGTTACTGAAATCAATCGTTGCAACGAATTTGCGAGGTTACCCTGTTATGCAATATACGAAGGTATATTTGGAGGTCAGCCCCCGAAATCAATATGAAATTTTTAACAAAGGGACTTGATCACGCGACCATGATTAGCTGTTCTTAAAATACTTTTCCAACAACATCATGTATCTATATTTAAGTATAACATAGTTGCAACACTCATCAATGCTCTATTTTGTTAATCTGCAGCTTCAAATTAAATGTCCCCCATCATGCACCCATTTTGGGCCATGTATACACACGTAAAAATCTCACATCTTGTAGCAAATCTGCCAACAAGCCGTCAACAAGTTGTGTTCGCACTGCTTGTCCCAAGTTGTCAACAAGTTTGGATCAAGCTGTTAACAACTTATAACAACCTTGTTGATATTGTCAGACTTGTTGCAATGTTGTTCCAACAAGTCTGATGCAGTCATGATATAGCAATAGTGTTACAACCTTGTGTCGTCAGACTTGTAACATTCTTGTTGTATCACGACTGTATCATGAGACTTGTTAGAACAACTTTGTAACAAGTCTGATAATGCCGTCAAGCTTGTTACAAGTTGTTAACAGTTTGTTCCAAACATGTTCCAACAACTGGGAACAAGCAGTGCGAACACAACTTGTCGACGGCTTGTGAACAGATTTGTAACAACTTGTTTGCAGACCTGTAACAACTTGTGCGTTTTTACGTGTGTATATGCTCCCAATATACTGGTTATATTCTCTTGAGAGTTCATGCAATATATTTGCATAAAAGAAAGTTCTCAATATATAGATATCCAGAATCAGACAATTGCAGAAATGTATAACCTTGCTCGCAGAGGCGAAAAATCTGACCAGTGGGCGGCTGGCAATAATTCGGACGTTTGGTCGTATTAATGAATTTTAAAATATTTTTACGTGTCATAGCTATAGATATATCATGTGCGGAACATTGTTGTCGCAGAAGGAAGCAGGTGTGTTACAGCAAGTCACAGCATAGACAAGCGGAATTGGCTAGAGAAGCATGTTTGTCGCGTTTCCATCCGTGATATTGGCACATTTTTTAGACGGAAAGCCGCACAACGTTGAACTAATTAACAAGAGGAGGACACCCAATGTCATAAGTAATTTAAGTATCATGCATAAATTATACAATGGGCTAATAATTCCGCAATTCTAATTTACTCCGGTCCGGCAAACGGGCAAAGGAAGACAAATCTTTGCTAATTTGTCATCCAAATTTAACCAAAATATAATCAATTTGTCCTTAGCAAAAGTTTGGGATTTGTTTCCAATCTTATAGACCGAAGAAAAAACATTTGCTTTCAAATTTACTGGGTTAATTTTGCGAAGCTTTCTTTGATGCGTATATAACGATTAACGGTTATATTTTTGCCAAACATATGAAATCAAAGCCAATGATATACACATTTGAAAATAGTTTCGTAAATTCAGACTACCGAAGTGCAAAGAAATTTTATGTAACGAACTGCGGGGCATATGCGTGTGCCCTGTCTCCTTCGCTCAGCGGCTCCGTTCGTGTTCCAAGATCCGCCATGTAAAGTGTAGTGAAATGTATCTCAATACTAATCCGCGTAATCATAGCCAACTAAAGCCTCTGTGGCATAGATATCTTATATACACTAGATAGTGCATCTAATTATTCTGCAATTCAAAAATTGAGGCCGTGATTGCAGTCTCAGGTCGTTCCCATGAAATGAGAAGATTCGTATATTTGCTATTTCTTAAACAGGGAATTTAAACATTAAGTTAATTCTATTCCAAATACGTTTTTAAACTATTCAAATGATGAAAGTTATTGTTGTTTTTAAGCGTTTATTAGCAAGTGGGAACGACCAACATGGCCGCCATCTATTCAAATGGGGGTAACCGCTGGAATATTCTTGGCTTCAATTGGAGGAGAGAAGGGCCCTGTTGAAATATTATGATGATAATAAGGTTTTGACTTAATTATGGTGCTTCCACAACAACCAATTTAATTGTAATGGCAGACTATAGCCTTTCTTGCAAGATATCTATGCTTTCTTGCTGTTATCAGCACTAGCAAAATAATTTCATAAATCAACGGGTTTTCTGGTCAAACAGGAAAGGAATTAAACAGCTACAACTTAAAGTTTTCGTTTCGAAGTAGACATATATCACTTGTTTGGGGTTAAAACTGAATATTTCACTGAAAAAGCACCGAAAGCCCGGATGAAACGAGGATGAGAGGGCATGAGAGTTGGTAGTCACGTGACCTTGGTTAGCTGTTCTTAATGCTTTCCCAACGCTATCATGTATTCTATTTAAGTTAAAACATAGTTGGAACACTCGTTCTTTTGCTAATCTAGAGCTAGCTTGAAATGTCGCCCGTATAACAATACGTGACTGCATCAACGCTCATCCAAGCTCTTCTGACTGAGTTAAAACATTAATCATTGTTCCTTATTAAGACGTTATTCCACTCCACCCTCTCGAATGTCCTCTATAATGGTGATATATTTATAGTGTTTATTTAGGTGATGACGCTGAAAGAGCTCTTTTCATAATAAAGAGGCAATTTCCATCGTGCCATAAGCGTTTAAGTAGATTGTATAAGGGCCAGTCCACGACTCCACACCAGGAAAATAGTTGTCCGCGACAACTTTGTTGTTGTCGACAACTAAAAATCAGGTGTGTGAGAAAAGTCGTCGATAAAAATTTGTTAAATATTTAGTAGTCGACAACAAAGTAATTTGAAGATTTCGTTGCATGCACTGTAAATTTCAAAGAGTTGAATCAAGTCCAGAAGAGCAATTCTGTCACTGTTTTTGGTGACGGAATAACATTTTTGGAGTTGATCCAACTCCTTAAAATTTACAGCTGAACAACTACCTGGATGCAACTACCTGAAACTTTTTCGAAGGAAACGTGACTTTTAGCCGACAACTCAATAATGTCGCCAAAGCCAAAGGGTTTTTTCTAGTGTGTGTGTGTGGGGGGGGGGGGGGAGGAGATATCTCACAAAGTTAAAGATGTCAATGACAAATTGTCATCGACACTATAATCTGTGGTGGCCCTAAGACATCATTTGTCAATTCAGTTGCGGCGAAGGTTGTAAAAGGAAAGCAAAAGTGCTTCTGTAACAATACATTTTTGTACGTAATTATGTGGGTTTTAATTTGTTCCTTGTAGAATTCTATGCCAAAAATAGTGAAGATATATGCACTCACTGACGAAACAAACAAGTAACGCTTCGCTGAATAAAAAAGCGTTGTGTTTTCCACACGAAACATAACAATTATAATTCACGCCTTGCAACGCCGGGAATATAACGGAATATAAGTAAGCGGGAAATAATTATACAATATTGCATGCAATTATCCCGAAAAGGAAAGTCTGGAATGTTCGCTCTTACAAATTAATTTCAGGTTGTCGACTTTTTCGCCGACTTCTACGTCCTGTTTCTTTACAGTAATATTACATGCTCACGAAAACAGAGTATTTTTGTACTTATTTGGCATAATTACCCAAAACAGAACAAAGAAAGTCTGTCCAGTTTAAACCAGTGCTCCCTTCCGAATAATTTCTGACTCGAACCTTTGAATAATAGCTGAGATCAAAATGTTGTAACAAACGTGTAACAATTTTGTTGCAACGGTTGTAAGCTTTAAAGCGGTTGCAAGCTTTCATCGGTTTTTAAGAGTGATACATTTCGATGTGTGAGAAAAACTCGTGGTGTTGTATTGATATGTTAAGAACACAAAGTGCCAGCCAGGTCCATGCATATAAATATATCTATAAGATAAGTAAGGTTTGTGCAAGAGTACTCTTTCTTTGTCAGAAAAATTCTACTTTAATTGGAATGAGTTGCTAAGTGATATAGTGAATTGCATTTATATACAGCTAATTCAAAAAAGGTTGTCGTTTGCAAGCATAATGGGAGAATAATTTAATCAGTTTAGAAATCCTATATGGGCCCATTTCGTAAAGACATATCTCCTTACGAGAACAATTAATTCACAAATAGCTGCAATATTCAACTACTAAGCTTGCAAAGGACAATCTTTATGAATTGGCTGTATAACGGGGCTATATTAACATAAAAGCATTAAAAGCAATTCAAGGCTTAAACTTAAAGCCTGCCTCACACGAGAGCAACTTGCTGAGCTAACTAACCGCCTCGCGTGGCAGCTAGCTCAGCAAGTAGTTTTCGTGAGGATTTGACCTTTCGAGGCCTTGAGGAAAATATCTATCCTGTTTGATATTTTTCACCTCGCGAGGAAAAATCTCAACGTCTGCGGATGTTGTGAGCTATGTGCTGAGCTGCTTGAATCAATTAGCCAATGAGAAACCACTCATACATAGTTTCTTCATGTGACTTTAAACAAAATGGAGGAAAATGCAAACGAATTTTGTCAATTATGTTGTTGTACGTGTTGAGTAGTTTTCCCAACGTGTGTGGCGAAAATGCATAGCTGAGCTATAGCTGCCACGCGAGGCGGTTAGCTCAGCAAATTGCTCTCGTGTTAGAAGCGTGAACATGCATTTATTGAATCAAGAACATTTAAGATAGGTTATATTTAATGAGTAGATAAACCGTTCGTGCGGACAAATTTGAAACAAAAATACTGGCCAAAGAATTTCATTACTGTATAGCTAATAACGGATATGCAAGCTTGTTAGCTTGTGACCTATGGGGGCGTTGAACTACAGACATCCTATCCTGTACATGCAGGAATTGAACTTTCTTTTTCTGTGTAGATAAAGTGAAAGAGCTCTTTATTCGACAAAAATAGCTGAAACAGATTACTTCCGTTGATGGCACAGAAGATATTGGCTTTTCTCTTTGCCATTCGTCTTTTTCAATTTGAGAAGAAATTGCTTTCACTTAAATTCCCGTTTGATTCGACCAAACACCGATGGCTTTCTCCGAATATACTTTGGTTTCTTCCTGAAGTAACACTCGATTAATGACGTACGGCGCTTCAAGGAGAACAGTTTAGAAGAGCTATCTACATGGTCGTACTCAGCGGAAGGGGGAGAGCGGCAACGGCCTCCTAGGGAAAATTTTAAACTTACTAATTTTATAATGTTGTTACACTGAACATTAAGCCAAATGATGCTTATAATCTTGTGAATCAGAATCTATGATTCTGTATGGGGGAGGCAGGGCCGTCCTCAGGAAATTTTTCAGGGGGGGTGTAATTCAATTCAACCGACTGGTTAAAAAAATTTTTCCGGAACAAAAATTTTTTTGTCGACTTCCCCCCCCCCGTCGCCAAAAAAATTTCGGTCAGTACCATTTTAGGGGTCCAAAAATTTTTCCGGACGTACAAAAATTTTCCGGAACATTCAAAAATTTTCCGCACATAGCAATTTTTCAACATTTTTTTACATTTTTCCAAAATTTTTACATTTTTCCTCAAAATTTTCCTAAAATTCCCACCACGTTCTTGCCCTTTCCGCCAAAAATATTTAACCCAAATAGCAGTTCTACCGACTGAATAGCACTCCTGCCGACTGAATACAATTACTGGGGGGTGTCACACCCCCCCACACCCCCCCCCCCCGTAGCTCCGGGCCTGGGGGGGGGCTATAAGCATACATCTAACTGATATGACTTAATTTGAATGCATTGATACTTAGTGCTACGTCAACAAAAAGCATTACAACACCATGGACATGGTAGCAGGGGAACATATATTAATGGCATTTACCATGCACTTCAATGGTGTGTTCTAAATCTAGATATACAGTGGATATAGTATACGTCTGCCAGCACAATAACTAAAAAGATATCAAACGTATTAATGCCAAAATTTGCGGAACCATTGGATATTGCTCAAGGACAATTTGATTACTTTTTTGTTAAATTTGGATGAAAACTGAATTAGAAATTGGCGAAAGCTTTTCTTGCTCTGTCAATTGTTATAAGATGACACTCATAGATATAATAAATAGACTATTTATTATTATATCTATTGACTATGATGGCACTTGACTTAATTCGCGGGTGAAGTTATGCAGTTTTTGAGTGTCCTCTAGTTAATTAGTTTAATTATGTTGTGCGGTTTTCCCACGTCTAGAAATATGTCTTACAATATCACGGATGAGAATGCGACAAAATATACTCATGCTTCTTCAGTCAATTCCGCTTGTCTATGTTGTGACTTGCTGTAATACACCAGGTTCCTTCTGCGACAACAATGTTCCTTGTGCACATGATAAATGCACACTGCTTACTATGATGGCTCAAGTTGTCAACAACAAGTTGGAACAAGCTATTAACAACTTGTAACAACCTTGTTGATATTACCTGACTTGCCTCAAGGATGTTCCAATGAGTCCGTTGATCATGATATAGTCATGATATAACAATATTGTAACAATCTTGTGTCGTCAGCCTTGTAACATTCTTCTTATATCATGACTGTATCAGACTTGTTACAACAATCTTGTAACAAGTCTAATAATGCCAAGTACGTTGTTAACAGCTTGTTAAGTTCCAAACTTGTTGCAAAAACTAGGAACAAGCAGTGCGAGCACAACTTGTCGACAACTTGCGAACAGAATTGTAAAGACGACTAGTTTGCGGACCTGTACTGAACAACTGTGCATTTTTACTTGTGTATTGGGAGCACAGTCTGACAGATGCGAGAGTTGGTAGTCACGCATTGTTATACGGCGAATATTCCAAGTTCTAGATTAACACAATAAAGCTTTGATGAGTGTTCTAACTATGTTTTAACCTAACCATAGAATACATAGTAGTGTTGGGAAAGCATTGTAAGAACAGTTAACCAACCTCGCGTGATGAGTCTGAAAATGTTTTTTGAGATTAAAAATTTCATGTGATTTCGGCGGTTGACCTTCGGATACCCTTGAAGATTGCATAATTGTAACCTGGACAGTTCTTTTCAACTGCGGGGTTGGAATGATACGATCATGATATATCAAAGAATGCTAAGTTTAACAACGTTTACTGAAGGAGATTTAAATTAAAGTAGGTAAAATTGAGTTAATTCGAAAGTCTGTTTCTAAACTTGCTATACGACAGAAACAAACACTTAACTTTATTTCCGATTCGAAAGGGTGGGGAATAATTGTCTTTATCTTGCCCCATTTCTCGCAATCCAGGCTAAACCAAGAAAATCTTTTATCTCTTTTGCGCCACTTCGCATGAAGTTGCGGTACGCATAAGACTAAATGCGAGGAAACAGACAAGTTAACCAGAGGGAACCGAGTCAGCCATCACGATGAAGAGTTGGACAATTCTAGCCTTGCTGCATGGTTACAGTCTGTACTGTGTTTCTTGGTGTTGAAGAAACTGCCGATTAATTTAGAGAAGCAGCTTTGGAAGACATCAATAGTGATACTGAAAATATTAATGGCGCGCATTTGTAACTCACTACTGTTAGGAGGGCGTTAAGAAAGGAGTCAGTTGATCAGTTTCGTTTCTTGCTACGGCAATGCCTTTGTCGCGGGAATAACTGAAAACATTGCTTTTTCTTACACATTTTACAATGTCTTTCTTTCAATTTTTGTAGTTGTTGGATGGGCTTGCGGCTTGATCAACGGGGACAAAGGTATGCGTGACGTCTTTTTAAATAACATGACCCTGTATCAGGGGTCGAAATTCCCGCTATTCCGAATATACTAAAATGCGTGACGGAATAGTAAACTTCATGATCACAGTATTCCGTTTGTATAGTAGAAAAAGTTGTGGTACCAAATATCGACAAGCAAGGGCTTTCCTGATCTTATAATAATATATATAACTTTATACCGGACTTTGAGCCACTGTTCCACTTCGTGGCTAAAGTTCTTGTTCGCTTGCAGTACTTGCGTATTCTAATTTCTTTGCAGCAATATTATTGTCCATTTCAAGTCACTTTTCAACGCACGGTTCCCAAGTTGGTTGGAAACATAAACGTTTCCAAGTTTGGAAATTGGACGCGAACTTCGCAACAAAGTTCGCAAGTTCATTTCAGTGTTTGAACTTCGTTTTTTATTAATAATTTGTTCATCACTGTACAGAGCAATGCACTGTACATGTTTATTTTTTGTTATACAATTATTCAGTTCACTTTAGGAGTCTCAAGGATGATTTCATGAAAATCAGAAACAGTACATTAAGGAATCAGAAACAGTACATTAAGGAATAGTGGATCTTCAGACGGAATAGTAAATATAAAAATCTACTATTTCGGCTGTATAGTACAAAAAAAAATTAAATTTCGACCCCTGTGTATCCGTAATTGCATTGCAAGATGCAGTAAGAATGACCTCATGTAACATGGCCTTAATTCTAAAGTCCACGTGTATATTATCGGCAATTGCTAGATAGTATACTTCAAAATAAGGTTTCCGTTTTTATATAAATTTTTAAAATAAGTTAGGGTTAGGTTAGGGTTTAGGTTAGGGTTAGGTTAAGGTTAGGGTGAGCGATAGTATTAGGGTTAGGGTTTAGTTTTGAGTTAGGATAGTTTTTTCTACGTTATAAAAACGGAAACCTTATTTTGAAGTATACTATCTAGCGATCACCGTATATTATCTTCTTTCACAGAATACCCGCGTGTGCAAACGATGAAACCTTTATTGTAGCGCAAGAAGCCAACGAATTACTAAAACAAGGATGGTTGCATCGTGATGAGCTGCCAAAAACGAACATTTTATTAAAAATTTGGATACTTTAGTCAAATATTGAACACGCCTAGTCATTTGCGAGAAGAGGGGAAGGAGGGGGTGGGGCGGGGGAGGCACTGGCCATTAGGTTGGGGCACGTGGTTGGGGGAAGGGTCGAGAAAATTGGATTGCGCAGTGGTAATTTTTCGTGTGTTTGGTAATTTTTGTCACCTGATTTGGTAACAACCTCGTACCCAGGATCTTTCTCTGGGAACGAGGTTGATTTGGTAATTGATTGCCCCATGGCCGCCATGGCGGTAATTTTGAATATTTTTGAACCAGTGATTTGAACAGAATTTCTGAGTTTTCTCACCAAAACTGGGGTAGATTTGATACAAGATTCACTGTAATATGTCCTTGGCAAAATTTACAAGCAACCGTCTAAAGACTGAGCAGCAACTGGCTGTTATTAACGAACTACAAGTCAATACAGAAGCAAATTGAACTAATTGTGTACGAAGACTGATAATGTATTTTAAAGTTTTAACCAGCCTGGATGGTCTGTCATACACAAGCATCCCGATACAAGTAAGTTGTACTTAGTATTTGTATAAGTATAAAGCTTAAGCTGGTAAAGCTGCCGTGGTTTGTGTCTGAAGTAGCTTAAAAATCGACGTTTCGGATGAAGGCCCTTCGGCTTCGTCTGCGGTTTGTTATAAAATACTGTTCAACCTCGTGTTCTGACAACTGATAAAAAATAAATCATGAAGATTATAAACCAGACAGCTTATTTTATAGAATGCTACGTACATTGGATCTCAAGTTTATAAATTAAATTATATTACTGGGTCTACTGTTCACTACCTGTTCAAATTAGAGGTTGGACAGGTTGGGATATTAAAAAATTCCTACTATTATTAAATTAAAGCTGTCCATGGTTTAAAATTTAACCTAGTTTGTGTATTTCTGCACATGGTTCCAAGGTTTCCACTTCTGCAGCACACTGTTTCTTGTTTTGCTCATTTTTTGGCCTTATTTTGAACAAAATTTCCTTCAACAGTTTTAAAAAATTTATCTGATTTAACACTGGTCCCACCCAATGTTTTTCAAAGTGTAGTTTCAAATATATATATATATATATATATATATATATATATATATATATATATATATATATATATATATATGCGCGCGCAATACCATCACGCACGCAATACCATCACGCAAGTAGCCTTTCGTGCGCACGCAATACCATCACGCAAGTAGCCTAACGAACTCTCACGTAATCATACAGGAATTTTTTTATTGAGATTTAAACATTGTCGCCTGAAGAT